GTAACACGTAATCACCTGATATATGTTTAAAATTAAAAACTAGACGTGAGTTTCATGACAGAAGCGACACTTTTCCATTTCTTTGAAAATTTTTTAAAAATTTCAAGGAAGTTGAAATTCCCTATAGTCTGGTATTACATACGATGAAGTCTCAAAACCTGTCATAAATTTCACCTCTATTTAATTTATTTTTGTTTATAACAAATTTTATATTAAAATAAAATTGAAATAAAATTTGCATGGGATCAAATTTTGTTTCATGTAAAATCTCATAAGATTTGTTTCGAATTTTTCTTTTGTAGTTGTAATGTCATATTGTGGATGTAATACGCTCGCTTCATCGGAAAGAAATGAGATAACTTTGGCGAACATAGGTTCTTATTACGCGCGCAGATGCTGCTGAAAGATGCAGAGGCTCATAGAGAGTGACTCAGTTGTCGAGGAGTTATGATTCCTTTGCAGCGAATATCGTCGTCGACATCGCTTTGAATATTCTAAATTTAGTAATATTTAAAACTCTGGTTTACTTTCAAATCTTAAACCAAATAAGCTAAAATTCATTTTCATATCTGCCACATGATCCAAAATTGTTACTTTTGTTTACGTAAAACACATTTCATAAGGATTGAATTTTAACATTCGAGATTATTATATTATTATTTCTAAAAACTATAATTAATAAGGAATATCGTGATTAAAGATTACCTTTATTATTGTTGTTTCGTTAATTTCTTCCTCTTACTTCACTGCCACGTTAGAATTCTAACCTCAACGGCAACCTCCATAAACACTATCACTTCACAATCTCATTAACCTCAAATCAAGTATCCACGCACAAAACACATATTCACGCACAATCACGATCTACAATCCACTTGACAAAGTTATATCAATGCATAATCGAGCACCAATTATTTCGCGTATAACCTATCGCACGAGTCGCGTCGGTATCTAAATAGTCTCTTTTCAAAACATATATAACACATATAAATTCGGAACAGACGCGAGCCAAACAGGCAGAGATAAAGGCGGGAAAAAGATAGAGAATCAAAAATATATCACATCCAAACACCGTTGATTTAATCCCGTTCGAAAACATTAATAAAAATCACGGGCGAATTTGTCTGTCTCGCGCATCATAACTCAAGGTGACGTGGCGAAGTCTCGTGAGAAAACATCGAACGAGAGGGTACTACCGATTCGCGCCGCGAGAGGGCAGTCGCGTGTGTTGCTCGCTATCGCGATACTTTCCGAGTCGATCATTTTAACCAAGCCTGTGTCCATGATATTTACGTCGTTGCAATATCGTAACCGTGGAAATGTTATTGCCCGCGAGCGGGAACGATAGTAAATCCATTGGTTCGGCAATATCGCGCCTGAACCACGCCCGTTTTGCGACCATTTCGCCCGATTTTAATTTTCACTCGGGTGTGCAAGATCACCGTGTATTCATAAATCGAAAAGGAGATTCGCCGAATCGGGAATTTATACGCGTTTAATTCGCGTTCACGTGACCAGCGTGTCGCGTATATTATCGTGTGCGTTTTATTTCATGTATGTTAGAACATGGATGTTTGTTTGGAAAATTGGAATCAGGAAAACTACGTTAGGTTTAGAAAATGAGTAGATAGCTATTAAAGTACTTAATTTGGATATTATCGCGATTCTAATATTGAATTGTACAGAATTGTTTAGTACTAACGTTTAATCTATATGTTGAAAATTTTATATGATAAATAGATATACCGGGGATTGATATACTATGTTAGAATATAGTTAGTAGCATAGTTAGTAGATTATACTAAAGGAAACATGAGTAAACACAATGACAGACGCACCATGCTGTGTGAATGAATCTTTAATCATCTTAAATCCCACGTAGAAGTCAATCATATAAAAAGTACAAAAAATAATCCTGTACAATACAATTATTCTTCCCCCCCACGTCGCTCCAATTACCATTTCTTTTTTTTTTCATTTTTTTCTTATTATTATATTCATTCATATACGTGAAACCAAATGTTACGAGTACGTTAAACCCGACGTGGGATCGAATTTACAATATCTACAATATTATTCTCTAAATATTTTGGTCGAAGAGTAGCCCGTACCCTCCCGTCACACGACATCCCGTGTATTCCACAATATGGAGGGATAGCGAGTTCCTGATCGAAAGAAAACACGCATTTAAACGACGGATTCCTCTATCCAGGCATCGAGATGGTCTTCGACTGGTCTATGGAGCGCCGGAAGTGTATTGGAAATCACGGTCAACGCACGTATATCCAAGGACAGAACTCTCGACACGTATATCATCGCAACGAAAACAGTTCCTCGGTGGCGAGATGGTTGTCGCTGCGCTGTGGATCCGCTCTTGTCCTATCCCCACTCCTTCGCCTGCTTACGAGCCAGCGATGGCAACACGTCGTCTGCCGCGACGGTGCTGCCACTCTCGACTTTCGTGCGTCATTCCACGACGTTGTTTCTCGCGTCGTGTGAGAAGAGACGGTTGGTGAGGTTAGAATAGAAAATAGTAGGAGGAGCGTTACGAGAGGGGTCAGGGTCTCTTCGAGAACCGGCAATCGGTGATTACAGCCAAGATGTGCACTGGTGGTGATCGGTGAGCAAAATTTCCTTCTAATTATTCGTGGTCCCCGGTGTCCTTTACCACCAGCCTGAAAAGAATTTTTCGTGCGTTAATCGCGAAGGGACGACGGGCTCTTCATCGGACGATGGCCCCGGTTACGCTTTTGTTTACGAGCCTCTTTGTCTCTCAGGATCCGGGGATCGTTGTTTTTCTTTCATTTTCCTCTTTTTTCCTCCCATTATTTTGTAACGCGAAGCAGCCCTTTAATCAAAAGCACGGAAGCGACAAGCCACGTGTTGTTCGTTACGCCGTTTCGTCCCAATTACCCAGCCTCGAAACTTGTTTCCGCGTTATTTCGCGGAGATCGAACCTCTTTCCGTTAATTAATCGCGATCGCGTATCGAGATTCGTGGAATCGGTTTATCTCGTCTGTCCTCGCGACGCGAGAAATATATACGAACGCAAACGTTTTCGACGGGATCGATCGAATTTTTATTTCTCTCGGCGCATGGAGTGGGGGTACCGGCGGAGTAGGGGAATTAGAGGAGGTGGCTTTTTATCGGTTCGTACATCGAAGCTGCCGCGCAAACAGCTTAATTGGCATTTAAACTGCACGTGGTAAATTTAGATGCGAGGGGTCCATTCATTTTCGGCCCTGGTATATTGCATTCGACGATCGCGGCCGACTAATTTCACCGACGTTTCAGCGTACAATCCCGCGAGCACGCTCAAAAAATTATTAACATACATTATCCGACCATTAATATCCACGTTGTTTTGCGAGTCAGCTATTAATATGAATGTTGCTGGATCTTCCAGGGGAACGTTGCCGCCATTACGACGAAACATAAGAACACGTTGCGAAATTTATTACTCGGCGATGAGTCGTGAGTTTATTTTTTTTATTTCCGTATATTTACGGGGGTATTGCTGCACGGTTTTTTAATTTTTTTTTATTTTTTTTTAAAGTCGTTTACACTTTTTACCCGGGGATGAAATTAATTGTTTGATACTAGAATTTCCAATTTTTAATTTGTAATTAAATGTATTATATTTATAGATGACAACAGTTAACCGGTACGACGAAATAGGTATCAGTTCTAATTTTGCTGAAAGGAGTAATATCTTTTTAATGAATAAAGTAATAAAGTATACTTCAAGTGCAAACAAAATATATGAGATCCGTTATTTTGACTGGGTTGGTAATTAACTATAATGTTAATAAGACTCCTTTGACACTAAACTAATTATGTCACATCTGGATTAAGAAATTTGTAAGAAGTGTAAGAAAATAAATTTGTTTAAAAAAATAAAAAATGGAACGACTTTGTTGTCAATTATATAAAAATTCTATATATTAAATTATATTTTTAATACCTCATTTATTGGACCATGTAATTATATTTGATAGGAATATCTTTCATATCTCGAATTTTCCTTTTTTAGAATACACTATTTATTATCTCCCGGATAAC